CAAATTTAATATCCTTACATCACAGGACTCTATTTAGATTTGCATGGCATTAATATGGAAGGAGAAGGGCTGGTTTTCATTGCAGGAAAAATTGTTTTTATTTTGGTTACTGAATTAAGCACATTCCTTATTTGGCTACTTGAGCTCTTATTTGAAGCTTTTTGTGCAACTTGAAGCGCTATGAAGATATCTTTTTTGTTTTTTTCTTTTTTTAATTCCCCTTCTTGGTTAGAATCACAGCTGTTATTAACTGTGTCTCGTGTTCAGCCCTTGCAGAGTGGGCTAGGCAGGAGGGGGCAGCATCATGGACCATACGGTGAGGTGTCCACCCAGGTGCCACGGTGCCATGCTCCATCCGCAGCATGGAAAAGTCACAGTTTAGCAGCTGGCCCTGTTGGTTGAAATGTCAGAAATGCCATTACTTTAGGACAAAGTCCTTGTTAATATGAAAAGTGATTTTTGAGGCATTTTTGAGTCCTTGAAGTCAAGTAGCAAAGACAGAGAAAACAAAAATTCCTTCCTCTGCTTTAAAATGTGCATGGAAGCAGCCAATATCTTCAGTGCAGGAGAGTCTAGACTGCATTCCCAGTTACTGTGCAGCCTGGAAGGTGGCTGGAGATGGCAGGGCTTTTCCCTGGGAGACAGGAGCAGGGTGAAGGGGGATGGGGTTTTGTATCTGCCAAGTGTCTGGAAAGCTGGCTAAGCTGCTGTGCTTCACAAGGGATTAAAATGTTAAAAACCATAATTTCTGATGAGAATTAGTGCGACATAATCAGCATGTTCCTTTGGAAATTTTACCCAAGGTACTGAAAAAGGAGCAAGTTTTTTGACACTTTCCAGAAGTGCAGTGGGCTAAGTGGAAAATGAGGCCGTCATCTTTTTTTTCTGATGAAACCCACTGGAGATCACTGCGGCTTTCTACTTGGTGATCTGTGCATGAGGAGAATAAAGGTGAAAGCAGTTGATTAAACAATTAAAAACAGAAAGACATGGAAGCAAGACAAAAGATGCCACCTTTGTAGTTAGGCTGCCATCTCTGTTTCTTCTCCTGCCCTTCCCAGCAAAGCTGAAGCAGGGGACTTGGCTTGTACCAGTCCTGCCTAGGGCTCTGTGCTGGCATGTGCCTATGGTTGGGAAGATCTAATGGCTTGAGCTTGTCTTTGGCCTCTAGCCAGGTATCAGAGCAGACTCGTGAGACGATCCCTGACGTGTGGTGGCATCTGCCCACAACACAGAGGCTGGGGTCCTGCTTCAGCCTTTCAAACTAATATTCATTAAGTTGCCCTCTGTTTCTCATTGCCGTCAACACCCAGTGCTTGGCAGGTCCCATATTGGCATCGCTCTTGTGAGAGGGCTTGCTCTCCGGTTTGATCTTGGGCTCATGACTGAGCGTTTTGAGTTGGGTCTTGGGAGTCGCTGTCTTCACAAGTTTGTAGTGAACGAAAATGTGACTTGTAGGTTACCCTGAAACCTCAATCAAAAATTTGAAACCTTAAAATGTTTAATTTAGCATTCCTAACTTCAGAATGACTGGAAAGGCTTTTCTTTTTCCCTTTTCTCCTTCCTAAAGTAAAGAAAAAAAATTTGTTCTTGGCAGAGGTTTTATAGGCCAACTTTCAGGGCAAAATATTGGGTTTTGTGTAGGGGATTCTAATGGAAAAGCTGAGCACCAAATTCACACAAGGTTCTTAATTGTAGAAGCCAAAAGCTCTTCCAGATGTCTGTCAGCCCAACGTGCTGGATGCTGCCATTGCTGGTTTTAATAAAAGCTCATATTCAGCAAACTATTACTGATTTACTGTACACTACTCAAGCCAGCAAATATTTTTGCTCTAAAAAGCTAGCAAACAAAGACCTAATCCGTTCACTGATTGCGCTCCAGCATGTCATTTACTGTATTAAATGCCATCCAGGTTCCATTATTTCACTAGAGATTTTTCTCTAGATTGCCATTGTTAAAGCTGGAATTTTAGAAACTCTTGCAGAGAAGGACATGACCAAGAAATGCACAGGAACAAATCGGTAAATGGTGCGTGCAAACCAGGCAGAGCCGCTAATGCTAACACGTACGTGACACATGCAGCCAGACAGGCATTTCTGAGGCAGGTTACCTGTTTGCACATGCAACTAATAATACTCTGAAGTAAAATGGAAGCTGAAAAAAGTAGGAAAAGAGTAGAAGACAAATACAGGGAAGTGTGTCATGACTTTGTGAATGCAAAAGTGAACAAAACTAATAGAAAAATCATCAGTCAGAGAGTAGCAAATGAAATCTCTGAGCAATGATGTAATTAGAGCTCATTAATCATTATAAAAGATCGTTTCCCTTTAAACATCTGCTCCCCTTCACTTGGCAGCAGCCTGGGCAGTGTCGTGAGTGATGGGATTGCGCTGACGGGCATGTGTTATCTGAGAAACAGCGTCGGCCTTCCCGGCCTGACAGGATCTGGGATTGTGCTGCTTTTCTCCTGTTCAGGTGTAGCTTTAAGGAAATAAGGGGGGGAAGGTAGAACATCGCTCACAGTGGAAAGGAAAACCTGGTTTTCAGAAAGTCTGAACCCAGCCTGCTCTACAGTGTGGGGAAAATTTAATTTTGGTGCCAGAGGATTTGAACAAAGTAATCCAGTGGGCCCGGAGCCCGCTATGAAGCGGAGACGCGTGAAGCTGCGCGCAGATGGGACTGAAACGGAGGGCTCCCTCTCCTGCTCCCAGCCCTTTGGGGCCAGCACGGGTTTCCAAGCCCTGCCAGCTTTCCTGGAGGAGTTCTGAAGCGATGGGGACTCGGGCAGCCTGTTGCGCCTCAGCCATCTTTGGGAGCTTGTGCTGGCTGCCGCCCTTCCCTGTGGAGAGGGCAGCGCTCTTTGACCTCCTTGTCCATCTTCCTTCCCACCATGAGGAGCCCTTTTTGCGCTCACCTTTGGGCTCCTGTGAGTAAATATAACCGAACAGAGCACAACACCGCTGAGGTGGCCGCATGGATGCGTAGAGTCACGTAGGTAATGGGTAGATATGTAGCTGGCTCCGTTGCTGTTAGTTCTAGCGGTGCAGCAGTGTCCATCCTTGGGATCCCGGGTAGGATTTCTGGTGTGTTTTATTTAGAGTGAGTGTCAGGGCTCCTCAGTTTCTCTTTGGCCATTAGATTGAGTTACTTCGGGAGGAATTTTTAATGTCAAGAAGCTTTTTTTTTTTTTTTTTTTTAACCTCTGTACAGTTCAGTCACCCCCTCGCGTGTGGCGCAGTCGATAGTATGCACCACGGTTGTGGGTGCAAAGGCCCCTGCGCGCCTCCATTTCACCCATGCCTTGCTGTGCTCCATGCCCGGGGCAGGAGCTGTGTGGGTCCTGCAAGGACGTGTCAGAAGTTGGGGCACTTTGAGATCCTCTAGTGAGAGGGCAGCTGCGGAGCGGCCTCGCTGCCACGCTAGTGCTATTTTCCTAAAAGATTTCTAGCGTTTAGATCCCCCAAACACTGTCCTGACTGCAGTATTTCTACTGCATTGCCTGTTGTTGTAGCACCTAATCAGACAACATTGATTACCCTTGCCAACGGTTGTCACTCTTGGCAAAAAGTCCCCGGATTAGCAAATGTCATCTGAGGGTGACAAAAAGTTGTCTGCAAGGGGAAGCATAGAAATGCGATACAGAAGGGTGGCTGTGTCCCTGGATGAGGGCAGGGGGTCCCGGCCACATTCGCTGTGGGACGTGGTCAGCAGGGGGACAGGTGAGGACACGTGTGACTTGGCTGCAGAAAGCCAGAGGAAAAAGTAGCATCTCTGAATCCTCTGCTTTTCATGGTTTGTTCAAGATCTGAACCAAAAGCTGCATGGGTGTAACCTTAAAAAAATTCATGCAGGTTTCCATGGCACTGTGTGTGCTTGAAAACAAGAAAAATTGGCAAGTTTAGCTGCGGCTTGTCTTTGGGCAGAGAGTTCTGCGTGGTTCAAGTTGAAGTTGACTGTGTAGCGAACAAGGGCAGAATATTTTGAGGGCGAAGTTATCCAGGAAAACCTGCCTTGCATAAAAACATCATGCCCGTCTGTCGTGCGTATCTAATATGACCCAAAATTTCCTCCCAAACTTCAAGCACAGGTATGCAAATCTGCACTCTTAATGCCATGTTTTGGATTGCACCCAAAACATCTCACACTTCAAGCAACTTTCTTTGAAAGAGATGTCTTTGCAGCCCTCTTCTGAAAAGGTGTCCTTGTGGACTTATACACATGTATTGAGCACTGTGGTTTTTAGATGAATAGACCTGTTTGTTCTGCCTGTAGGGTCTGAAATAGTGACCTGGCTGTTCCGTTTGGGTTGCGTGGTGAATTGCTTGTGCGCCTTTGATATTGTGAAAGTCGTGGATGGGCGCTTCAGAAAAGCGTGGTTTTCTCTGGGAATATGAGTCCCACATAACACAGGTCGTTCCTCTGAGATTTCCAGCTAAATTGTATGAGGCTATTTGTATGAAAAGGGCTGTACTGGTGTCACTGCCTCCTAATGGCCAGGACATTTTAGTTGGGATCAGTTTTCCAAGGGAAATCAGAAAGTTACCAGGATCAGCACGGACCCCCTAAACCACTCGCACCACCTGTGGGAGTTTTCTTACTGCGGTGGGGACAGATAATGTTGCTAACTGCCCTCAGCCTTCTTTTCAGTCCATGATACTCCATTCGGGAGCCTACATGGGCACTTGTGTGCCCTTCCTTGCTCTGATGGTATTTAAGAGATAAGGAAATTTAATTTTGTGATGACAAAATCCAAGAAAAAGAGCACAACCTTAATCAGATGGGTGTAATCTCCAAGGGAACAAGTACTTCATTTTAATTCCACATTTCCCTTTGATGAAAACTTTAGTGAATGCTATTATGTGGAATTTATATGAAGCCTGGGTCTAGGTAATCAGTTTTAATATTTATACTCTTAGGGAAAAAAAAAAAAGAATCATTAGTAAGCCATGCATAATTAATGAATAAATTATATTTTTCCTTTGTTTTCCTTCAGGTATAAGGAAATGCTAGATTTAGTGATATCACCCAGCCTGACTGTAAATAGAGAGTGCCCCGACAGACTGAAGCTCAACCTTTCTAACGCCTATGCCGCGGCTCCAGATGACATAGAAGGTAGGCTGCCTCTTCGGCTTGCTGTTCATTAGTGTAACGTAGATGCACCTATATATTTAGCGAAAGGAGGTGGCCGCAGGTCCTTGCTGTCCTCCCCGGGCAGCCCTCCGGTCTGTGCTCCGGACTTTGGCATTTGGCAGGTACCAGGGACAAAATCTTCTGGTGGCTCAGGGAGGCTCTGATGGAAACGTATCTGTTTCTCTCCTCCTGATGCTGCCTTTGCCCCCCATCGTACTCTTCCAGTGAAGGAAACAGAAGAATGTTAAATCTGTTAAAAAAATTATTGGCAAGTGATGCAGCTGAACTAGTTCTTGCTAGTACAATCCCAGCTATTGTTTGCTGCGGTCGGGATCTGTCAGCCTTCCTGGTGGAGGGGAGCGAGCAGAAGGCCCTGGCTATTATGTTTTTCAGAGTATGCTTAACCCTTCCTTCCCAGGCTCCTAGAAGCCCGGGGGGTGTTTTGGTGCATGTTTGTGAGGCATTAGCAACTGCGTGATTAAGGAACGTGTATTGTATTTATGGATGCTCGTCATGAGATACGAAATTCTATCAGTATATCAGTTTTCAAATCTACGGTTTGCTCTCAGTTCTAGCCATTTGGGTTGAAACGCTTGACATTTTAGCTTGCCTGTTTTTGGCACCGGCAGTAGCACACTGCTTATCGATACCTGGAAAATCCCCATTTGGCGTTCTTAACAAATACATTTATTCTGTACTTACCTCTCTTAGAATTAAGAACTTGAAGATACAGTATTTTTCAACTATAACGAAAATCAAGCTCTGTTCAAACTGTCCATTCTCCTTCTGTTTTTCAAGTTTAAAAGCCAAAATAATGAAAACAAAAAGCATATTCTTTGAATGCAATTGTACTTGGTAATGAGGAACAGCTTGACAGAAAAGGTATAGTGCTTTTTTATTTTTTTGCAATCCACAAATCTAATTTTCTTAACTGTTTTCTTTCAGGTAAGACAAAACATATTTTCCCTAGAGAGTTTGATAGTGAGTCAGGTAAGTCCACCCTTGGATTTAAAGACAGTCTTTTTTTTTTTTTTATATCTGCTATTTCTGTACCTGTATGTATAATTCTAAATGTACATTTATATATAACACTGTCCCGTTCCTGCATTTTTAAAAGATTTTTAGGAAAAATGCAAACCTTTGCAGCCTCTTGCTGGGGGAATAACTTAGTGTAACCACATTTTAGAGGATCTGGGGCAGGGATGTTTGTCGAGTGCCTAGTTGGGCTTGTTTGGGTTTGGTTTGGTTGGTTGGTTTTGGGGTTTTTTAGGAGCGTCTTTTGACTTTGGTGAGCAGTCCAAAATCAGAGAGGGAGCCCTAACAGTTTGGGGCTCAGCACCTGCAGTGAATTCAGCAGGCATCAGGAATACGTGTATCCCAGCGGGAATTTCTCCCTTGCTAATAGTGGGAGGTTGTGCCATGGGTAGCAGACAGCAGCAGACTCCCAATTATGTGGGAGAACAGAGAAAGCAGTTTGTGGATATTTTCTGAATTTTGTTAATTTTGAGTGCGGTTATGTGTGAATACTTCTGTGTTGTGAAAAAAGGACTTGTGTCCATTTTCAAATGTTTCCATCTTTTAATCAGATGTAATTGTTTCCTTGGAAATGGAGCCCTTTTGCCATGGTATCATTACTGATAGTAGACGTTACACCAATTAAGGTTCTAAACAGAGAGAATCTCATACTAAATATTTTTAGTTAAAAGCTCATACATGACCATTGATTTTTTTTTCCAATAAAAAAAAAAGATGTAAGCATGTGTCTAAATTTAGTTAAAAATCATATCAGAGTAAAAGTGTGTTTTTAAAAATACTTCGATGTACCTCTTATGACATAAAATTATAAAGCTACATAAATTATTGCATAAATAAATTTAAAAAAAAAAGATTGTGGAGGAAAGGGTAATTTTTTTTAAAGAGGTACACCAGAAAGAATGAACTTTTCCTGTGTAAGCATGCTGGGTCATTTTGGAAATTCTCCCCATGTTTCTGATATCCCAAGTTACTCAAACCCATAGGACTATTCCATATATTGAGATTATATAGGTATGTGCATATTTCATTAGGTAAAACATGCTTCAAACGTTTCATTGACCATTTTACAAACTGCTAAAGGAAGAAAGCAGCACAGCCTCGGGTGACTTCCGCGGGCCAATATTCCTCCCCTGCGGATGCTCCTGTGCCTGCGTGGGGGCCTGCGGCCTGGGGAGGCACCACAGAGCCTCCCTGTCCCCCCAGCCCTGCACCTGTTGTGGAGGGACCATCTCCTGTGCCTGGCCGGGGCTTTGCGTCCCCCGAAAAAGTCACACGATGGTGGCACCAGCTGATGCAAGGGGCAGTGGTGCCAGCACGGATGGTCTGATACCGATGTTCTCCCTGCATGGAGAAACACTAAGCAATTAAACTGGTGTGCTGGTTTATTACTACTGGCAAATCCTACTGGTGTTTCTGAGGGTGTTTTGTTATTTATGCAGTTATATATATTTATGCAGTTGTTATAACATCTAAAGGCTCCAGCCAGGACCTGAGAAACAATATTTGGTTGGCATTATGGAGGCAACTACTGTATACTACTGATGATGGCATCTAGACACTAGGTTTTTTGATACAACCTGCTTCAGGAAACTTTCAGGTTTAATTTAGATTCTTTTTTATTGTATTTTAAATAAATTGAACCTAAATTCCTTTCTAAACAAACGTAGTGTCATGTTTTTTCCATTGGTGTGGTTGTACATAACTGTATGCTACATTAGAAGGCATCCTGCACATTAACTTATTTGTGTGATGCATATTCTCCTAGTTTAATATTTTGATTACTGCTAGATTACTAAAGTAGATTATAACAAATTCCAAAAGTTCAAGAGTAAGGAGAGCTACAACAATATATTTTCAATATCTTTGATATAGTTTTAGTAAATGTATAACTAAATTCAGTCACTCAGTGTATGAGTCAGTACTCACGGTATGAGTTATTCCACCAAAGTCCAGCTTCAGGATTGCTACCCAACTCATGAGCAGAACCTGGCAGCTCCATCAATGACCAGCAACCTCCGTTAAAAAATAAAGTTGTATTCATTGGTGAGTGGAAAATAACTTCACTATCTACTTTAGCTCTTTGGAGATTCACTGCAAAACAATGTCTCCATATAACTGTCTAAATCTTGCAGTCTAGCAGTTGTAAAAGTGGTGGTATCACCTTGGCGGTAGAACAGACTATGATGGAAATCTAAGACCTTTCAATTTTGCTTTCCAGGTAACAGCAAAGCAGCAGCACAGTGTCCTCTCCATCTGTACTCCACAAAGTGAGTGCTCCTGCCAAGTTCTCTGATTTAAAAACCTTGTTTCTCTGAAAAGCCATTTTGCAGGGACTGCTATCATCTTAAATGCATGTGTTGTAAGCCCTTCCACCTGTTTCCCTGCATGTCCCGTCTCTGGGAAACAGCCATTTCTTAATCTTGTTATGTATGGAGTAAGAGAAGGTTGGAGGAACCATGTGCTCTACACTCAGGCCCTGGAGGATACAAATCACTGTGAATATAGGTTTGTGTATGAGCAACCATAGTGGAATATGTTAAGATGTCAGAGGTTTCCCATGACACTAGTTTGGCAAACAAAATGAAGAGTCCAGATGAGACTGTGGTTGTCTTTTAAGTAGTTTGCACGTATCTTGCACAGTCCTTAAATCCTCATGCATTTAAGTAATTGAATCTTCATAGATGATATTAGGAGCTGTACACAGAAACAAACCTTTGCCCCTCTCTAGTAACTTGAGAGTTCCCCAAATTCTCCCCATCACCCCAAGAGTACTATTTTATGAAAATGTCACTAGAAGCATCTTACTTGTGCTCTAGAGGACCAAGTATGGTGATTATTGCCTTAGACCTTCTGTTTTCTTGTTCTGAATAGACATTATCCCCATATAGTGACGGTGCCACCCTTCCCAGCCATGGCAGCGTACGGGCAGACTCAGTACAGCGCAGGACTCCAGCAAGCAGCTGCCTACACGGCCTACCCTCCTCCGGGGCAGCCCTATGGGATTCCCTCCTACAGTGAGTATCCAGCATCCCCTTATCCTTGAGTGCATCCTCTTCCCCTTCCTCCTAGAGTATGCTTGAAGCTTTTTACTTTAAAGTGAAAGGTCATAGCTATCCTAGCAATGATCTCTTCTTAGGCTTAGAGAAAAATCTGAATTTGTTAGCTATATATGTGTGTGTGAATATATATATATATATATATATATGTATGTGTATATATGATTTTTGTGAAGGTGTCCATCAGCTTTTGATGTCTTGAGCTGTAGTTTTGCAAACTAGATTTGGAAGCAATCAGTAGTAAGATAGGAGACAGCATGAGCAACTCACGTTTAGAAAGACATACCATTGAAGATTAGTGTCTAGTGAGGGACCCTGTGACTTGTTGCCACGACAGTCTCCTGTAATAAATACAGTATTTAGGTAAATTACACTTTGCCTTCATTGAATCCATCTTGAGTTTCAATGATATAAGCTACTTCAAAGAACTAACTGTGTAGTAATACAGAAAAACAAGCTCAGAAGAGAGCAAGGCATGATGAGATGCTGCAAAGTGCCTTGGTTTTGGAAGACACCTTGTATTTAGATGGTGGCTCTGTGTGGAAATGCCAAGAACCAGGAAGATATTTGTCCTCTTGAAGACCAAAGAGGGGCTCCTCTTGCCAAGCTGCTTTGGGCTTCTGTTTCGTGCATGCTGAGCCTTGACGCGTTAACGTGGCTGGTTCCTGGTCGCTCTTGAACTCCAAAACACTTTTGTTTGCTCTGCAAATACAGTATCACTTCCCAGCAAGAAGATTTTCCGGAGTCATCGACAGGTTGTCACCAGAGGGCAATTCCCTGCTGCCTCCAGGCCGGGGAAATGGGCTTGGCAGAGGCCAAGCGCTCCGGGCAGGGCTGGTGAGTTGTGAGCCGGGTCCCTTTCCTGCAGCTCCTGCTGTGTTTGCAGCCCCTGGCTGCTTTCCAAGGCAAACTCATAGCAGTTGTCCTGCTTGAGCAGGTGAAATCGCAGCCATTTGCTGTGGCCCAGAGGATTTAGGGCCATGCTTTTGTCAAGTCCATATGCTGCTTTTAAATCCTGTGGTGACCTCCTAGCATCCTTGGGCAGCGTTTCCCACCCCCAGCCGCATACCCTCACGGGGACACCCAGCACATATGAGGCACTCCACCTGGCTGACAACCAAGAACAATGAAGCAGTATTGTTTTTTGGCACAAAAATAAAACAGGGCCATTTTCTAGACAAAACAGACCCGTGTGTGGAAATTAATTTGGTGCTGAATTATTTCACTGTCTGACAACAATCTGTGGGCTTCCAAAAATGCCCAGATTGATTGTAGTCGGGGCAGGTCGAGCTTTAGCACGCGGCGCTGATGTGTGTGAAAAGCAGGAGATGCTGCGGGAAGAGGCTTCTCCACCTGCTCTCGTGAACTCCCCTGGCTGGGCACGGAAACGCCTGCCTCCTGCAGGTCCAACTTAAACTGTGTGGCTGCTAATCCCACCTGAAGCCAAAATAAGCAATTTTAGTAGAGAAGATTATTTGGGAGCCTTATTCCTCACCTGAGCAAATGCAGACTTGTTGCTTTTAAGGTTCATTAAGCTAGAAAACAGCACGATTGGCAACAGGCAGGTGTATTTGGCTTGTCTACTGGCAAATGTGCCTTAAAAAATAATAAAAGATGACAACAGCCTGGAAAGAGCGTAGATTAGGGAGCAGACTCCTTGCTGGGATCTTTGCTCAGCCCATACACCGTGGCTGTTTCTTGTGTTGTGCAAATGTGCATGCAAAGCAGTGCAGGATCGTGCCCAAAGAGCTCATAACAAGAGGCACCTTTCAGCTGTTCGTTTTAAAAATACAGCTGTAGGATCTCAGCAATGTCTCGGGATAAAATATCAGCCCCCTTTCACTACCAGCAAAGGTTTCATCTTGCAATGTTTAATTCAGCTACTGCCTCTCCACCTGTAATTTGTTGGGATTTTTAATTGCCTGATTTTTGTAACGAGAAGCTTCTGTGGCCTCGGGATTTACCTCTTGTTCCTGAACTGCATATTGCATCTAACTGAATAGGTGATAATCTTCCTGTATGACTTACTCATAAATATTTTGTTGCAAAAGCTGAAAGTACCGTGGAACTAAAGTGATAGCTCTGATCTGAACTGAGATTATTTCACTGTAGTGTCTGTTGTCTCCTAAATCATTGCTTGCATGAAAATTGTTTGGAGGAATGGGTTTAATTAATTAATGGGTTTAATTAATTCTAAAGCAATAAATTCTAAAAGAAAGTTGTTTCTGAAAACAGTATTAGATGTGGTTATTAGCAAGAGTTACTCAGTTATGGATGCAGGTTGTAGCTGACTTGAATAATTTGTGATTAATATATTTGGCTATGCTATTTGAGACAGTTCTTTCTGTAATTCTGATACATATTTTTTAAGTTAGAAATTGTGGAAAAAAGTGATTAGCTATTAGGCTGAAACCCCGCTGAAATCTTGTAAATTCCTAAACTTGTTCTCTTGCATCTCTGTGTGTCCAACCCTCCCGTTCTGCTCCTGCTTCCTGCTGCGTCCTCCGAAGGCATCAAAACGGAAGAGGGCCTGAGCCACTCCCCGGGCCAGAGCGGCTTCCTTGGCTACGGCTCCGGTTTTGGCACGCCGGCGGCCGGCCAGGCCCCCTACACCTACCAGGTGCACGGTGAGTACGGCTGGCGGGCCCCAGCGCCCGCACGGCGCTGCACTTGGTCGTTGTCTTTTGCAATTAGAGCAAAAATCAGCGTGGTGCAGGCAGTCGGGGCGGTGGGAAGTGGGAGCCTTGGGGTTTTGCTCGTTAGGGCATTAATTCCGGGTTGAGGTACTGGATTGAGCAGCAGCATGCCTTAAAAAGCTTCCCATACAACCACTTCAAGCTTTGCCTTTCTGCAGGAAGAAGGTTTTTTTTTCTTTTTCTTTTTAAATGACTTTTCTGACTGTCTACCAGGGATTGCTGCTGTGTGGGAGTGTAAATTCCTGGGTCCTCAGTGGAAACAAAGCAGAGATGCTTTTCAGCCTCACACAAACAGCAGTGCCAGCTGCTGCCCTAAGATGTCCTGAGCAAATTGTTCCCTGGTAGAACTGTGGTGACCACTGAAGCTTAAAAGCAAGATAATACTATGATATAAGAACATTTAGTTTTGCAACTGTTCAGATATAAGTAATAACTGTCAAGATATATTGGCCTGCTTTAACCCCCAAAATACCAACACCATTAAATAACTAAAGGTTATTGAGGTGAAGTTCAGCAGAGCTGAAGGCAGCTGTTTTCCCCCAAGGTTCCTGAGCTTTAGTAAGTTTAGAATAACTATTTTTTACTGTTGTCAAAATAATAATTGATTATAAAATAATGAAGTGAGACCCCTCGAGGCTTCAAGGACAGTGCCTTGTGCTTTGAGGTTTATAACACGTTTTCCTGTTTTGTCATACAACCTTGGAAGGTCAAAATGCATTTTTTTTCCTAAAAATAAAAATTGGAGTTCTCTGATGATTTAATTCCAGCAGCCATATGAAGAATCTCCTGAAAATCAATGCTATGTTGCCAACTTCACAAAAATTATGAAAGGGTTTAAATCTGAACTGAGCTGAAATATGAAATAAATAAAAATGATGTAGTTTTATTTATTTTAGCCCATTTATAGCAGGATGGAATTTGATTTGTTTGAGCATTTTGGTGCCTTTTGGTCAGGAACCTAGATTCCTGCAAGGAGTGAGGACCAGTTCTAGCATAATGACAGATGAGAAGAAGCATAGCATGATCAATGCTTTATTGAGCAAAGCCATAGCTTTATCAATGCTTTAGATTTGAGAAGTGTAATGAGTTTGTTCTGAGGAGGCCTTAAAATACCACTTCATCTCTGTCTCTCTACCTTTGGTCTGAGGGAGGGCAGGTTTGTTCCTCATGCCTTGATATTCCCATCGATGTTTGGATTGGACTTGCTTAATAAACAGTAAAAATTAGCTTTTTGTCTCCTGCTATGCCTCAGCACATTGCATTTGAAAGTGCCTTATACTGGATGTGAATAGAATAGTTATTTGACCAAAGAAAAAAAAAGTGAAAAGCATTTTAAACTGGAAGTGATTTTGGAAAGCTGAGAACGGCAAGGTGACTTGCTGCTGATACTTGGTGTGCTAATATCATCAAGAGCTCATGTCTATTATCCCAGACAAGGTGATTCTTGGGCCTTGAGTCCTTAACAGAATATGTTGGAGGCAGCTGGGTTGGATGTGTCACAGAAATAAGAAAGTGGGGCCTATGATTTTCCTCACCTTGCCTCCCGCATGCTGCTTCCATCCTGTCCCAAAGAGTTTGATTTTTGGCTTCAATTTCACTCCTTGAATGTTTCCTCCTTGTCTCAAGACCATGTTACGCTCAGTTAGCAGTGGAAATCCTCTTTGGGAAAACTGTCGCTTGCAATTACCAGCAGTTCTGGGGTGTCCCGGGTTGCTGCTGCTTCATTTAAGGCCTGCGGTGCTGCGTCTGTGGGCTCTTGGAGCCCCAGCAGCTGTGCTTTCCTGGCCAGCTACCAGCTGATCAGATCCTTCTGGCTGTAACACCACGACTGATGAAGTACAGGCATCTTCTACTGCAGCCTTCTACCACTGCTATATTCCTGTCTAGGTTTCTGTTGGGTTTTGTTTCCCCAGAAAATGCTCTGGCTCTGCATGTGCTTTGTGTTAGGTTGGGAGAATCTGAGCTGGTTGAGGAGACAAACTCTTGGCTCGCTTGAGTCTGGAGTTTTTTGAAGATGGCCCGTATGTTCAATCAAGGGGTTTACAAAAGTATATTCTGTGCCTCGGCACTTGAAAACGTTACACTGGCAGAAACTACTGACACGACGTGTGTTGTAAAACAGCCCGGGAGGAGCTTCACGCACACGCAGATGAGCATGAACACGCTCCAAGTGCTTCCAGATAATGTTCCCTAGGGCAATGCTATGGTATTAGGTGAAATCACTTCATTTCGTTCAGATTTTTATGTCAGGCAGATCATTTCAGCCAGCTCCCTAAGCCCTTAATGCAAAAGGAAAACAAAGGAAAACAGTTTCTGCAAGTGGCAGCTGCCTATCCCAAGGCAAACGGAGCAGGACTAAATGTGTCTTCGTGTTGTAAACAAACATTCCCACCCTGCTTCTCCTTGCTCAAGAGCAAAAGGCTGAAGCGCCCTGACCGTACGGTTTATTTACCCTGCTGAGTGCTGCTGAGAGGCCCGCAGGAGAAGGCAGGAGGCTTCCTGCACCGCTTGCTTCCGAGGAATGTGCGCCCGTGCTTCCCACGCCGCGGCTGCTGGAGCAACGCGGGCACCGGTCCCCACCGCTCGTCCTGCTGCCCTGCCCAGCGCCATGTCCACCCTCACCAGGTCCTCGCCACCCTGTTGCTGACCCCAGGAAACTACTCTGGACTATGGGCTGGAGCAGCTGAAAGGTTTTATTTATGTCTTTTTTTGTAAAATCTAATTTCAGGGAGACTTTAAAAGTCAGTCTTCGCCCCGCTTCAAGGACAAAATGTTCATTGTGTCCTGTCCAGGGAGAGAAGCGATCTTGAGGACAGGGCTGTGTCATGGCTCAGCAAGAAAAGGGATCACCAGAAGGCTGAGCTAGTCAGTTTTGTCTTTTAATGTAGGAGGAAAAACTGTTTTCTCAAGCTAACTTCAGCAGTCACCTGCAGGCAGGAGCGTTTGCTTAGACCACAAGTCTCCAGCTCATTCTGCAGGGCCTCAGATCCTCCCAGTCCCTCTAGGTAAGAATTCCGTGGTGCAGCCAGTGAACAGGCACGTCATGAGCATGTTACACCAGCCAGAGCACCAAGTGACCCCTTGGGTGACAGGAACGTGGTCCCATGGGACTCCGGAACAAATTTGCTTCCGTAAGTACAGATGTAGATGGTGCTGGTAGCTTTGCTCTCCTGTCTCTTTGGTACCTGCAGAAGTTGTGGCCAAGATACACATGTGAGGTTGAGGCCTCTCCTCCTTGGTGGCCGTTTCTGGTAAGATGGTGCTTTTCCAGCCAGGATCTGCTTTCCTTTATGTCTGTTTTTTTCCTTTATGTCTGTTCGTTTCCACTACAAAAACAGGTGCTGCAGGTGTAATCAGGTTGGGTTCAGCTTTTCATCTTTAACCGCATTATCAGTTGTATTCTGGATCTTGAGCTGGAACAGAATCCACTGAACAGCAGTAATGAGAATAGGACATTCTCATGGTCACTGAGTGGTAAATAGAAAAAAATATATTTTACAGATAGCCAGAAGGGGAAATCTATTTTCATGCTTCCCTACCATGAAAATAAATGAAATGTAGATGGGTTAGAAGCCAAATATCTAATACAGGTCATACACACATATAAAAGATGAGATTGGCGAGTTATGTAGTTTAAAAAAAGATGTAAAACTGTATCACGGAGGTACTGTAGGCAAAAGTAATGATTTTAATTGGCATGTAAAACTGTATCACGGAGGTACTGTGGGCAAAAGTAATGATTTTAATTGCCAATTTATACTCCTGACCTGTCACAAATAATTGCACCTGAATAGTTCCATGCCTCAAAGAAAGAAAATTCTAATATTTTCTGACCAGATCTCCCTTGTGTATCTCCTTGTTTGTGGTACTGTGCCTTGTAGAGCTGATCAGAAAGACTCATAAAACCACACGCTCCTGCAACTTGTGGTAATTCTTAATTTTTATGCATTTTTTAACAAGCTCTAAATAGCTACTCAGAACGTGAAATGAATGTTTTGGTTAAAAATACTTTTCTTGGAAAACCTGAGCCTTTTATAGCTGCCCTAAAGACATTTTTTGCCCATTCCCCCTCCAGCCTTTGGGCTATGGCACCCTTTGCACATTAGCAACAGCCTTACCTGTTTTACAAAACTTTTCCAGGTATGTGTACCCTTGATTCCTAGAGGAGGCTCTTGGGGCTGAAAACTGCTCTAAAAGTGGGAGCTTTAAGCAGCATTTTTGTCCAGGCTTGCCTGTAAGCAGCCACGTCTCTCATCTGTTCACTTGCTGTTCCCTGGTACTTTGACCATCCTTCATTTCATTATGAAGAGGGGACTAATGAACGTTCTCACTTTTGGTCCTTTGTTGACTTGGAAGGAGTATTTCCAAGAAGCTTCAAGCCAGTATAACGGAACAGAATTTGGCTATATAAAGGGGCAAGATTATTATCAAATGCTTAAGGAAATGATTTAATCAGCTGCATAAAATACTACGAGGACGCTCTGCCAGCGTGTTAGCTAAAGCAGAAAGCCATGAGCTCTGCAGAAAGAGCGCACAGGGGAGACCTTCCTGTGGTTGCCTGCGCATGTGTTATCCCTTCCCTGCACATCAGGCCATCGCTTCTCAGCTTGTCACTAATTCCTGCACAATTCCCTGCTCCTCAGTTGTTACTGCTGAAGTGGCAGCTGGTATGAAACTATGAAATTGCACAACAGCTACAACTGTGGCCAGAGACCGCTGCAGATACTGTCTTTGGCCAGGAAAAGATTTGACCACCGTAGGTTTTTTATTATTTTTTTATTTCTTTCTTTTTAATATCCAAATCCATTTACCCACAAAATACTTTTTAAATGACAAAGGAAAATTCAGTTGCATAACTGGGATAACTCACATTTGCCAAGGAATTGCAAGGCAGTATTGAGTTCAGTGCAGCAATAAATGTGGGGCCAATG